TATTAAATTTTGTAATAATTTTAAATTTAATTTAAATCAAATTTAAAATCAGATCCAATCAAATCAGACCATACCAAATCAAAATATATTTGATCCTATCAAATCAGATTAAACCCAACCAAATTAGATCAAAACCAATCTAATCAGATCAAATTAGACCCAATCGGATCAGAACTTAAAAAATTGAGATAAGATTCAATCAGATTAAGTGTATGGAATAGAGCCTTAATTATAAAGTATCTATATATGAATAAAACATTCACTTTTTTCTAATTAGGGATAATTTTTTTTGCTTTCCTACGTACGATCTAAATATTTAAAGAAATCACCCTAAATAGGACTAAAACATAGAGAAAATACAAAAATAGGAGTTCTATATTTTTATTCACTAGATAGGAGTTTGTACTGTGATAATGTGACATTGTACATGTACATTTTACGTAATGTACATAGTCATGATGGGTAATGTAAATATATTTTAACTCCTATTTCGGGAATAAAAACATGCAACTCCTATTCTGGTATATTTTTAATATTTTACTTCTACTTTAGTCTTTTTCCCAATTATTTATTATTTTTGTTTTAGAGTATTTGTCTTTTTTTGACTTTTTATAGTCAAAACTGATTTAAAATATATGTCCTTCATAATGGGCGTTGAGAGTGAACGCAGAACAGGAGACGTAGGAGCTTTGAGGCAAGTTCGGGTGCTCTACGCCTAGAAGAGAGTTAGAGGTCGTTCCACGTTAAGGGTCGATCACGAAGCATTAAGAGCCGATTGAGCGGATTTAGTTGAGTTCTCTTGAAGAGCTCAACCACTCTAATTTATCCCTAATATTACCCTATAATTCTCATCATCAACCACTCCACACTAAGGGTGTGCAAAAACTGAACCGATCCCGATATTTCCCGAAAAAATTGAGAATACCAAATCGAAAAATACCGAACTGATAAAGTCCCGAAAAGAAACTGAATCGTACCAAACCGAACGGTCATTCCGATATTTGGGAACGGTACGAGGTTATTTCCCATACCAAAATACCCGAACCGAACATATATACTACTACCTCCGTCCCACTCTCTTTGTCCACTTTTGACTTTTGGAACTGTTCATCTAAGCACTTTGACTCATCAAATTCTCTCAATGTGTAAGCCTAAATATAGTCATGTGTGATCTTGTTTGATTTGTCTTAACATATAGATTATTAATATATAATTTTTACAATTTTTTAATATACAAATTACAAGGTAAAATGGATTAAAGAAGTGCATTGGATGGTGTGTAAAAATGAAAGTGGACAAAAACAGTGGGACGGAGGGAGTAATATATTATAAAAATATATAATAATCTTTTTATATTTCTTCATTAACTAAAAAATTCATATAGACAATTTAAATAAATTTCATTATGTTGAAGTTGCACTTTAATAAGAGTTTTTTATTTTTTGTAGATGAGTATAAGAATATTAACAAATAATTGAAATAATACTTTGTTATCACTCTCTCTTTAGTTTGTGAAATATAAACTAATTTTCATAAGCATTTCTTGCATTTTATTTTTTCATTTTTAAATTTTTTATCTTTCTTTTTTAAATGTACTTTTGGTTTTTCAAAAATAAAAGGTTTTTTACATTTTATGATGTTAACTAGGTACGTATATATTCATCCTAATTTGTACCAAAATCGATACCGAACCATCCCGAACCATACCGAACCGATGCTTCGGGATCGGTACAACGTAAAATCCCATACCAAACCAAAATATATGGTACGCTGTCGGTACGAGCTAAATACCGTATCATACCGTACCACGCTCTCCCCTACTCCACACAATCATCTCCTCGATCATCTTATGCTAAAACACCTTCACCATTTGCTCCCACTCTCCGTTATTACTGCTTCATCTCCTAAAGAATGATACTTTTTGAATTACGTGCAAAATCTTGTCTTTGAATTTATTTTATTTGTAAATTGGTACAAAAATAACAAGTAAAAGATATACATATTTAAAAACTACGTCAAAATTTATACCAAATAAAAATGTTATTTTGTATAAGGCCCTTGTGAATCTCGGACCGCCCTTGGTTCATATGGAGTACTGTCATGTTAGGTATTATATATGCATTTTCATCTTTGTTATTGTAGCTTCGGTTGACATTCAAAACTTTTTCCTTGATAGTCACTGCAACACTATGATGATTCGGCGACGCTACGTTGTCCTACTAGATGGTGATGACGACAACAGAGGCTCGCTTGGTGGTGTCGACAATGACGTGGGGAATCACCGACAACAACAAATTATGCAGATGCGAAGAGGGTGACAATGGTGTTGTCGGCATCGGTCGGGGTGGTAGTTTTTGTAATAAGTGATTTAATATTATTTTATAAAATTGAATATAGATCTTATTTTAGAGATAAAAATATGGAGTTCTTATTCTCTTTGCTATGTTTTATTCTTATTTTAGTTCTTTTCCCAAATATTAATAATTAATGTGTTGCATTGAATAGAGATGAGCAAAACGACAGCACCAACCAAACCGAATAAATCCCTTGAAAAGACTGGTAGTACTATTTATTTTATTTAGGAGGAGACTTGTTCAATCTTTTTTTAGAATTAGTCCGGCCTTGTTCGATATTTGTAAAAAATAAGGACTTTTTGGGACCAGCTTGTTCAGTAGACCGGTCCAAGATCGATGCGGTGTTTATTTTTAATATGTAAATTTTAAATTATTTATTCTCTAAAAAAATCAAACTTTTTATAAACTAATTTCTTTGATTTCTATACTTAGTTGGTTTATAAGAATTATTTATGCAACATGAATATTTTTTAATATCTAAATTAGAAGTTGGATATATATATATATATATATATATATATATATATATCTAAATAGTTAGTTTATAAGAAATATTTATTTGGGACCAGCTTGTTCGGTAGACCGGTTCAAGATCGATGCGGTGTTTATTTTTAATATGTAAAATTTAAATTATTTATTCTCTAAAAAATCAAACTTTTTACCAACTAATTTCTTTGATTTCTATACTTAGTTGGTTTATAAGAATTATTTATGCAACATGAATATTTTTTAATATCTAAATTAGAAGTTGGATATATATAATTAATCAAAAAAAATTTAAAAATTATTTAAAACACTAAACAAATTTTTTTAATTAAAAAATTATATTGTGATTATTGTCTAAAATATTACTGTAACAATAATACGGACGTAACGGCTGACCGTGAGTTGTGGTCAGCATTACTCACGCGACCGGCAGACACAAATGTTCCAATGGCTTCCTTCTCTCTATCAACCCAAAACCGCATTCACATCCTTTCCTATTTTAAGATTCCAATTTCTTTTTATAAACCTTCCATAAAATTGTTTCATTTTGCCTCAAAAAAAGAGTTTCATTTCTTTTATAAATAACTAAGAAATCTATATTTTGAAAAATACAAGAGTCATAAAGAAAACAATTTTGAAAATCACAAATTTATTGATTGTGAGCCTCACCAAAAGAATAAAATAACCCCAAATAATTTTAAAAATAAAAATTTAAATATACAAACAATAAGTTTGTGTATTTTGTGATTGTTTTATTTGTGAAAATGAGATTATTATAAGAATAAATTATATCAAAGGTCCACAATTAAAGGTACATGATTTTTCATATTTAGCTTCTAAATCTAAGATATTACATAAGTGGTCTCCAATTTTTAAAAATGATCTATAAATAGTTTTTTAGGTTAAGTTTGAAAAAAATATTTTTTCCAAATAGTTTAGAAAGATTGAATATTGAATAATTTAGTACCATTTATGTAATATCTTAAAATTAAGAACTTAATAGAAAAATTTTAAGAATTATTTATGAAATTTACTCTTAAAATAATCGAAAGATTTACTCTCTCCGTCCTTAAAAGATTACCATAGTTTGACTTTTTTGGTCAAATTTTGGCATGTTTTGACATGAATTAAATATAGTTTAAAGTAATTAAATATCATGAAAATTTGATATTTAAAAACTATTTTTTTAGAGTAAATTAAAATTTTAATAAATTTACATTATGGCTAAATATATATTTTTTTTTGTAATTCACAGTCTAGGGTGCCACAGTTTGACAAAAAAAGTTAAATTGTGATGATCTTTTAGGGACTGAGGAAGTACGAAGTATTATATATTCCCTCCGTCCCCATTTTGATTACGATTTTATTTTCTCTATCCTCTCGATAATTTTTTATTATTTGTTTACTTTCATTAATTATTTGATATAATAAAATATTTTAGTCATCTCTTATTTTCTAGAATTTTGGACCTAGTTTTTTAATATATAATTTTTATTTTTTATTGATGTATTAATTTGTAGATTAAATGATTTCAAAAAATATGAAATTTTACATCATATTTTTTATTTTATAATCAAAATAGTGACGGAAGGAGTATTATATTATTTTGGAGTATTTTTTTGTTGTAAAAGTTAAAAATGTGAATTTAAAATTGAATGGTAGAGAGCATATGCTTTGCTAATGTCCACTTGTATTCCCACCTAAAGACTATTTTTACAATTCCCCCTTCAAACCCCATCTCACCCACTCCACTCTCTCTCCCCCCTCCAAAAGTCAGCGCCTTCTTTTGTCTCTATTTCCCTCTCTCTCTCTCTAGCAAAAGTCAAGGGCACCTCGAAGGCGAACAAAGAAAGAAAGAAATTAAATGGGCGACGATTGGGATCTACATGCGGTGGTCAGAGGCTGCGCCGCCTCCTCCTCCTCCGCCGCCCCCACCTCCTCTTCCCCGTTTTCCTCCTCCTCCGCCGCCGCCTCCGCATCATTTCAGTCAGGGCGAGATGAAGATCTTCTCTGTATGAAAGATCCGTACGAGTTCGGGGAGCCAATGAGTGACTTGCATGATCTATACAAGCCCTTCTTCCCGGCGCTGGCGCCGCCGCTCCCCCCTCCGCCGCCGTCTTTTCAGGATTTCTCGCCGCCGTGCGCCGCTCCCATCTCTCCGCTCTCTGTTCTTGGGGGATTACAAGATCTGTCTCCCACACACCCAATCCTTAGCCCAACTGTTATTTCTTCCTCTGCTTCGATTCTTCAGCCAAAGAAACATTTTCTCTCTGTAAATATAGCTCCAAAAACCAATCCCAGAACCAAAAGAAGGTACCATTTTCTGCAATTTATTCCTTTTCTCTGGTTAAAGATTGGATTTTTAGACGGAAAAATTTCAATCCAACGGATACCCATTTCTTTGATTCGTTTATATTGATAGATTTTGTCTGTTTTTTCAAATTTCAATGTATAGAAAGAACCAGATGAAGAGGGTGTGCCAAGTGCCGGCGGAGGGTTTATCTTCTGATGTTTGGTCTTGGAGAAAATATGGGCAAAAACCCATCAAAGGCTCCCCATACCCAAGGTAAATTAAAGGGTCTTTCTTTATTTCATTTTGAGATTTTTAAAGAAAGAAAATGAAATGATCTGAGTTAAACATTTCAAGAATGAATGATTGAAGATGTTCTGAATGTATTCTTTTTTTTTTTTGCCTTGAGGGAAAAAAATTGGTAAAGAAAGAAGAAACGTTTAAAGAGTGAATAAAGATGATCTGAATTTTTAATTTTGTGGATTTTTTGTTTGAATTGATTTGATTGTGCAGGGGATATTACAGATGCAGCACATCAAAGGGGTGTTTGGCAAGAAAACAAGTGGAGCGGAACAGATCCGACCCGAATATGTTCATCGTGACCTACACGGCGGAGCACAGCCACCCGATGCCCACCCACCGGAATTCGCTCGCCGGGAGCACCCGACAGAAGCCGACGACGACGACCCATCAGCCGGAAACCTCCGGGGAGGGAAACAAACTAGGCAACTCGTCGCCGGCGCCGGATAAGCAAGAAAGCAGCAGGGACGAAGACAAGGAGGACATCTGCGACGACGAGGAGGACGGCGCGTCCAATCCGGAGTTGGACGTGGCGGCGGCGGCTCCGGCGGACGACGACTTCTTCGAGGGCCTGGAAGATCTCGTCGGGGATTGCTTCCCTTCTAATTTGCCGGCCTCCGGCGTTCAATTCCCCTGGCTGGGGAGCACTGCGGCGACCACCGCCGCCGGCGGCAGTTGACCGTCGGGAAAGCCAGAAAACGGGGAAAGAAACGGTGGATGCTTTTCTTGCTCGTCACTTCTCTCTCGAACTTTTGGTTTTTGGCCGTTAGAGATGGGGAAAAACTCCAAAGTAGTAATCTGAGCACAAGAATCTGTCTAGTCTAGGGAGAATTTCACCTAAATTAGAGCCATATGTTAGTCTTTATTATTGTTCATTGTATGATGAGGGAGGGTACATATACATTTATTTATATATATCTGAATGTCATGAGTTGATTTTAGTTATGGACAATCAAGATTCAAGAATGAATGTGACCTAACATGAGTGGAAATGTTTCTTATTTGCAATGTTTGACAGATATTTTCTTAGTACGAAATAATTCTATAAAAGTTGTAATATCTCTTTATGAATAATTTTCAATTTATTGAAGTAGGGATAATTAGCAAGATTGAACATGTGACTACTTGTTAGAAAAAGAATGGAGACACCCCAATTTTGACACCATCCTCACACATGTATTTCATAGGCATTTGGTATAGTTTTGCAAGTATATATGAATAGATGTGATATTAAAATTGACTTATTAATTCTTTTGTCGCACTACATCATGTTAGATACCTCACTTTTTTACGGAGTATAAGACCTCACGATGTGATCACGTAAGACGGGTTCTGAGATGGTTACGTAGGACACAGGATTGTGGTTAACCACCTCCCTCCCTTGTAAACAGGATGGACGAGGATCCCACTCTGACGGTCGGTGCTCCCCACTCCCTATTCCAAATAGTCGTTGAATGGATATTTTTTATAAAGAAATACTAGAATATGAGTGAATGATAAATAAAGACCTAAAATAGGACTTTTATATTTTATAATAAAATAGGATTTAAAATATCAATAACGTCAACATATAATACCAAAAAGTATTGAAGAATGTTACTCCCTCCGTCCTAAAACTTTCTTCCTGTTGCGCAAAACGAAGAAAAATCCCAAGTTTTTTCAATCTATTTTATTTAAATATTGGTATAGAAATAAAAAATAAAACATACATATTTAAAAACTACATCAAAAGTTCAACAAAACAAGTGATGACAAAAATATTTTATTTTATCATATAGGCCATGAAAAAACACAAATAAATATAAATTCCCGTGAAGTTGGAATAGTGCTCTGCGAAGAAAGTTTTAGGACGGAGGGAGTAATATAAAATATACATTACTGCAATGCAAAATTCTATTTTAGGTTTAAAAAAAGGACATATCTTTCATATTTTGAGGATAAAGAGTGTTTGATCAATACTTTGGTGGTTTCCTTATATTTTTATTTTTTCCATCTTTTTCAACACCCTCCGTCCCAAAAAAGTCTCCTAGTTAACATTCACATGTCAAATTAATTCTACTTTCTTCATCCTATGAAAGCACTTGGGTACACCTTTTAAGTTTACTCTGAATTACTCTCTTCATTTCTATTTAAATGTACATTGCATTTTGCGCATCAAACGTTGACTAATTACATATAAAAATATACAAGGAATTAAAATATAAAAATTATACTAAAAATATTGATATCGAAAAACATTTTAAATGTATTATTTAATATGTCTTTATTTATATATTTTAAGGGATATAAATGTATTATTACCTCCGTCCCACTGTCTTTGTCCACTTTTGACTTTTGGAACTGTTCATCTAAGCACTTTGACTCATCAAATTCTCTCAATGTGTAAGCCTAAATATAGTCATGTGTGATCTTGTTTGATTTGTCTTAACATATAGATTATTAATATATAATTTTTATAATTTTTTAATATACAAATTACAAGATAAAATGAATTAAAGAAGTGCATTGGATGGTGTGTCAAAAGGTAAGTGGATAAAGACAGTGGGACGGAGAGATTAGTTAACAAGTTCAAAAAATGAGCTTAATAGTTAAATAAGAATGGGATTGTGGGAGGAGTATAGAGTATTAATTAAAACAAGGCTTGGGTGGAAACACGTGTAACCCATGCATTATTTCTAGAGGAATGGACTATTCATTACCCAGTACAAGATTACGAGTAGGTCAATATATGATACACTTTTTATAAAACCGTGTGTAAAATTCAATTTGTACTCTTTATTAAGAGATTTTTTTCAAGGATGTTAAGAAAACTAGAAAAGTATTAGTTGCACTTTTATCTGGGATTAGAGATGAGTAAAATATTTTGGAAAAATGTTTTTGTATATTTCTCATGAATAATATGAGATGTACCGGATTACACTATATATATATATATATATATATATATATATATATATATATATATATGAATTCACAAGCAAGAAACTTAATTAAGTTTAACTAGAAAACAAAGTATACAAGGAAAGAAAATGTGAAATTTGCACCTAAAACATAAGTTATTTCTTAATGTAAGACTTTAATTTTTTTATTCTTTAAATAGGATTTAATAATGATTAGTGAGAAGAATAATGTCCAAGTGACGCTAGACATTTAGTTGAATAATGACTAATAGTTAATGACCAATGGTCCTACATTGGAAAATAAAAACATATTTGACTCCAAAGTCAAAATCAACTTGCGCGGTGCAATTGACGGGGGTAGGGGGGTGTGTTTGGGTCGGTGGCGGGGTGGGGGGTTTACCGGGGGGGTTAGGGGGGTAGGAACAGTCAATTTTACGAACGGGGCACCGGAGCACCCCCGGGTCATCCCATGACATTGAAACCCAATGTCATGGGAACCTTGGTGAAACTTATTATAGGTGATGCAGGTACAGAGATGATAACTACACCTCCCTTCCATAGACATTGTAGTTGCATATGTGACGTAATCAGAAAAACACACATTAGGAGCACGAGTGCGATGACCCCCTCGCAGTTGATCGCTGGTGTCTTCGACATGTGTCTCAGTGGGAGTCAACGAAAATCCATCCGGCGTGGGGTGATCATCTACATTGTTGCTCTCGGAAGATGATGGCGTGGACTATGCTGGTGTGTCGTTAGGAGCGAGGTAAGTGGACGACATAGGCTGGCCAACCGTGATAAGGTCCTCTTCCTCGTCATCATGCTTGAAGATATACATGGGAAAAAATGGTGTTTCCTGGCTATCTCTTCAAAGACACAGAAACTGAAACTCATCTTCGCAAAAATAAACATCACGAGAGACAGAGATTCGTCATGTCTTAGGATTATAGATTCGCCATCTTTCTTTTCTTGAGGATATCTAAGAAAAATTCATCGATTACTTGTTGGTGCAAATTTATCTCTATTCCTCTTTTTATTATTTGAATTACATCAGCATCCAAAAATACATCAATGGGTTAACGCATGTGTTTTCACATTTAATTTTTCGTACGATGACACCTCCCTTAACATAGAAGAGAGTGTTTGATTAATAAGATAGGCCACCATTTGTATGAAATATCCTCAAATTCAATCGGCGAGCTAGCCTGGATTTGAAAATCAAGCAAATGTACGCAAAGGCTACAAAAAAATAATCATCAACAATAGTAAAAAACATAATAGATCCATTCAAGTTGGGGTGTAAGAAGATTTATTATAAGGACAATAACGAAACTCTTGAAATATGATCTTAATATTACTTGTTGTTGAAATATTGGAATAATAATATTGCTTGTTTAATTATGGAATACATGATAGAGTATATATAGGAGAGATTCCTAACACAACTAGGAATAGAGAATGGAAACTAACTAACATACAACATCTACTACAAATAGGATTAGGAAGCTGACTAATAATGAAACACTACCATAACTAATACTACCAGAAGTAATATTAGTTTTATTGTCTAACATCCCCCCTCAAGCTGAACTCTGGCTGAAGCAAGAGAAAGCTTGGACATTAGCTGGAAACTGGAAACTTTGAGAAGAGAGAAGTTTGACATGCGCCGGTGGCTGCTCACGTCGTTGGAGAAGAGAGAAGTGTGACGCGCGCCGGTGGCTGCTGACGTCCTTGGAGAACAGAGAAGTCTGACGTGCACTGGTAGCTCCTAACGTCGTTGGAGAAGAGAGAAATTGACGTGCGCTAGTAGCTGGTGATGTCGATGAAGAAGAAAGAAGATTGACATGGGCTGGTAGCTGCTGACGTCGAAGAAGAAGAGAGAAGGTTGACGTGCGCTTGTAGCTGCTGACGTCGAAGAAGAATAGATAAGGCTACTGGAGGTGCCAGTTTGACTGAAGATCNTGTTGAAATATTGGAATAATAATATTGCTTGTTTAATTATGGAATACATGATAGAGTATATATAGGAGAGATTCCTAACACAACTAGGAATAGAGAATGGAAACTAACTAACATACAACATCTACTACAAATAGGATTAGGAAGCTGACTAATAATGAAACACTACCATAACTAATACTACCAGAAGTAATATTAGTTTTATTGTCTAACACTTGTATTAGTTTAATTCAGCTTCGGTTTACAGAGGAGGTCTCACCCTTTATTTATTGTTTACATAGTACGATGTTCTTAATGATCAATCATTGTCCGGGAACCCAAGATTGATAATATTGATGCCAATTATGGGCGGAGAATCGATCACCATTCACCCATGATCCGTGGGGTTGACTATCTCTTACTAGCTAATTCATGGTCAAGCCCAATCTCTTAAACAATATCTTTGTTAAAAATTTACGAAAATGAAAAACACTATGAAGCAGCGTTAAAGTCTTTTAAACAACGAAGAAACAGATGAACGACTTAATAGTTTAACGAATCGCATAAACACTCTCAGATCAAAGTCATTTCGAAGTATACCAAAATACTTTAATCGGATAAGACGTTATTAAAAAGCATGCACTTCGAATTCACTCTCAACCAGTCAACCATACTAGCGAGACTCTTTTATAGAGTCGAAAATTGGAGACTAGACATGAACGTCTGCGTAAAGATGCGAACGTTCGCGCGTAGAGTTAGACACAAAAATTTAAGAATGTTCTCGCGAAGAGTTTTCTGCGATTTTAGGGTCGATTTAGACGTTTTATCCATAAGTTCAAGTCTTTATGGTTTTGGACTCCGTTCACGAAAAACTAAAAGCAATAATGTTTAAAATAAAAAATTTCCGACCACCCCGTCTAGGGGCTCTATCCCTTGGACCCTGCCAGGGGCTGCCGCTCCCAGACTTCTATTATGAATTTGTAATATCGTTGAATGAGTGTGCACTCTACACCGTTAACTCGTTAGA